GTCTGAAAGGAAGTAACGCTAGAGTAGACTCGCGAAAAGTGTATAAGACACTTTTAAGATCAACTAAATAGCTAAGCCCAAGGGAAGTCGTTCGGGGAGGCCCTCCCTAATTCCACAAGGGTGAGAAGAAACACACACGATAACGAAACGTTGAATCATGTAGAACTCGTAGGGTAAATGCAAAGCAAATTAGGAAGAATATGCAGTAAGCTAAGCGAAGAGGTAAGCAAGAGACATGTTAGACTGTACTACAACTACTAAACCAGTTAGTATAACTACTACACTACTATTACATGCAAAAAAAAAAATAAAAACATCTACAATCAAAAATTACTTCAAATAAAATGGACAAAAATAAGCATGCAAAATAAAATATACAATGAAATTAATGAATTTTACTAGATAGAGCATGCAAGATAAAAAACTATTTTAACCACATGGTCATCTTTGTCTTCTCCAACGTCGATCTGAAACAGATACGGTGGTAACAGATTAATAATGAGAAATTAAAATTAATTATATCAAGTGCTCTCACCTTAATTAACTGTAGGCTGTAACATTCCAAAGTTTGCATGTGTGAAAAGCAAACCAAACCCAGGAGGAATATCATAGTAGAAAATTTGTTGTTTCAGTGGAACTTGAATAAATCTCCAGTTGTTCTCACTTGTCAGTTGAAAAATGTTACAAGGCAAATATGAAAACAGCACAACATCACATGTAGGAATTGGTTGTTTTAGAATTACCAAACTGAACTCTGTCATTTGTTGGGCAATCTGCAGCAATGAACAAAAAAATATATTAATTACACTCTCTAAAGGAAATATTAAACACACCTATAAACACCAAAAAGCAAGTAAATTACTTCTACTTCTGGCATTTCCACAAAGTTGTTTACTGAAAGTAAGTTTCTGCAACCTCATTTACTGTTTTTAATTGAAACTGTTACTTAGAAGTTCATTCATCACCATAAATCATTTCTTTAGCAACAATACAGTGTCTTCATTCTCACTTAGGACCATAGGAAAAGCTACTTTCTAAAACGAACAAGGACTGATACGACCGATGATCTGTGATTTAATGACATCCACAGTTTATATTATGTTCCTGTAAAATGAAATCTTATGAAAGAATATTCAGATATAATTAATTTAGATTCCCTACTAAATAATGTGTATAGTATAAAGTTAAAGTAATGCCAAATCCTGTTGATATCAAATAAATATATTTAATAGCATGTATGCTCACCTTAACCAACCATAAGATCCTCCAAGATGAAAAGGTAACAGCTGGAAAAGCATGACTTGTTTTTCCAGTGGCATCACAATGAACATCGTACATCGATTTCCTCTCTTATCTATCTTCAATCTGTAGAAATGGAGTAAATAAAAATTAACTGCAGTAACACATAAATAAATAAATCATGAAATAGAATAACAACACGTGCAGAGAAGCAAGTAAAAATTGGCCATGTGATAAGCTTCTCTTTCAGTTTCAAGACAACCATAGAAGACAACATTTCATGATGATGGATGACGCATAAAAATCATAGATGCATATAATTACACCCATAGACATATATTAATGGACGTGCCTTAGCTGTATGTCGTAATAATTTCTTGGCCCTAAAAGTGAGGGAGTATGGTTTCGGACTAGTACACAGAATTGTGGTATAACAAAAAAGAGATAGAACCAAGTTTCGGACAATATCCATCTCTCTCAGGATAGTGCGTAAGCGTGTCGTGAAAAAGAGCACTAGTCAGAAACCGTACGACATACGGCTAAGCTACGTCCATTAATATATGTCTACGATTACACCAATAATATATATATCATTGGTGTGTCGCATATAGACAATCCTAAAGTAAAAACCATAGAGCAAAGATGGAAAAACAAAGCATCAACTCAATATTTATTATATTACATTTAAATTATACCTCAAAATTGTTGTAATATAAAATTCAAAATAAAATGAAAATCCTTAACGTCTGTTCTTTTTAAAAGAAACATTTCCGCAAAATTTAAAATTTTTGTTACATAAGTAGTGGCGGTATAAAATCACCTACAGCTCTAACAAAATAACGGACAATTTAAAGGTATTATACAAACAAGCAACATATGCTTGCCACTCTATAAATAATACTCCAGGATGCCTTTTATTGACCAAATTGGTAACGGACTAAACTTTTAATATACTTTAATTATTCTCACCTCAATTAGTTGCAGAATGTAACATTTCAAAGTTTACATGTATAAAAAGCAAACCAAATTCACAATCTTCGTTATTGTTAGGATCAAAACTTCCCATTCTCTCATTTGTTTTCCAATCTAAAGAAATGAACAAAACACTAAACAGTATATCACATTTAATCAATAATGATAAAAATTTTAAAGTGGCATTGTAGTGGTGATATTAGACAGGTAACTTGTAAAAGTACTACTCATTAATAAACAAAATAACATCTGCCTTAAAAGAAATTTAAAATAAAAGCTGTATTGCTTGTATTACAATATTCATACCACAGGAAAGAACAGTTTCACATTAATTATGATATTTTGCTTCTGCTGTTTCTGAAACGTTATTTAAAAGTTGTTGAAACAGTGAACATTACAATCAAGACCCAACTTTAAATGATGTCCAATGTTCCTATGGAGTTATATGCTGCGTAGCTGCGTTGAATAGTATTCATATACAAAAAAAATGGCCGACAACAGCAACAAACAAAAAAGAATAATGGCCGACAACAATAATAATGTAGAAGCAAACATAAAAGGTATAATGGCTGATGACTGCAATAATTAAAAAACATAATGGCCGAGAACACCAACGTTCATGTAATAGACAAAAATGTACAAACGGTCTACAGTTAATAATAATAAAGACAGAACAGATAAGGGTGATTTAAATTTATCAGACATCAGAGTGATAATAAGTGAAATACTAATTATCTTCTTTTACTTAATGTAATATACAAACGAAAATGAAAGCGTCTATCATAATCCGCAGAAAAACGTGAATATAATAAGAATTATACACATAGTCTATTTCTTCTATTCTGTTAGTTTCGAGCGAAGAAAACCAGCTAAGACCGACTTAAAAACATGACCAGCCAATAAGGACCTTGGCCTATTTAAAGGCACTTAGAAGAGGAACTTGTTCATTACAAAATGGCCCATTGCTGTAAATAAAAATGCTAATTTCCAAGTGAAAACGAATAATATATAAGGTATGATTATCAAATAATGATAAAACTCTTCTAGTGATTGAATTGAATGAATATGTATCTTAAATATTGAATTTTAATGCAAAACAAATTTTATGATGAAGTATTCCCAGTAATTTTTTCATTAATGGTTATTTGAGATATTATTAGTGCGCCCTGTATAACATTTTGCAGATAAAGATGTGATTAGCAGCGCACACTAATAAAAGATAAAGCAACACTTGCTGTATTAATAAA